GCTTTTTTTTTTTAAAGATACTTCTATACAGTATAAGTTTAATTTGTTTTTTTCCAAATATAAATAGGACTTTACTTTAGAGATTTAAAAAATATTACCTAAAAGCTGGAAAAATACAGTAGTATAAATTCTTACAGAAGTGGCCTATGAGTGACAGGAATTATTAATGTATTTATACATGTTCAAAAATTGGCTACATATATCACTTTTCTGTGTTTTTTTTTTTATAATCAAGCAAAATCAATTTTATTTTTTAAATCTGTTTTGAATAAAATCTATATCTATGGAAGTGAAAACACTGTGGAAAATGGTTTCTGGAGAGAGTTCTGGACTCTAAGGAGATGATTCGGTTAAAGGAGGTCATCACGGGGAGGCTAATTGAATAGAATTCCTGTCTTACTCTCCTGTGCACACAGGAAGGGCCATGTGGGGACACAGAGGGAAGGCGGTGTGTCTGCAAACCAAGAAGAGAGGTTTCACCAGAAAACAACTCTGGAAGCACCTTGAACTTGGACATCCAGCCTCCACAACTGGGGGAAAATAAATTTCTCTTAATTCAGCTCCCCAGTCTATGGTATTTTGTTATGGCCTTTGCAGATGAACGCAACAGGAAACAGTTGCCATTCTTTCTAACAAATTAGTGCAGTTTTGTAGCTTGAGTAGCACAGGTGTTAGGAAAATAACGTCCCACTGCTTACCAGAGAATCCATTCTTTGTACAACACATGCATCCCTTGCCGTTGCAGCCCCACCTCTCTCTCTGACCCCATTTCTTATCTTCACTGTCTTCACAACAAGGAACTACCTATAGATGTTAATTTTACCACTCCATGTCTTTCCTCTGTTCTGAATTCCTTTCCCTAGTATACATACCTGGAAAATGCCCACCAACCTTCAACACCCCAGGTAAGGGTCCCCTCTGGCTTTGTGCAGCCCTCCGAACCCCTTTAGACAGTCATCACTCATTCCTTGGCACTACCTGTATCTGTGCTTCGGAGCATTCAGCACGTACATGGTAGCCTGTCCCAGTGATAACCCGGCTTATATGTTTTCCCCAACTGATGGGCAGTTTTAATAATAAACTTAATGATGGAATGGAGTCTACTGAGTTGTTGAGAAATTCAATGAAAGTTCTACTGTAATAAATAGAGCACTTTTTCTAGGACAGGAGGGACACACCTATCAAGAGTTTTAACACTCTCATTTTAGAAATGCCTTCTAGGAAGGGGAAAAGAAATCCAGATTAAGTGCATTTAACACTTTTCACTGGTTAGGAATATTTAAAAGAATGAATTAATTCATTTCATTAGTTATTCTTTCTCTAGTATTATTGAACTAGCCCTCATTAGACTGTATGAAGACCAAGGACATTCTGATGCTTGAAAAGTGCCAGTACTGGAAATAAACAACCAAGAAGTATTTATGACTGAAAGCAAATCTAAAGAACAATTGAAGATTTATGAGCAAGCAAAAGGCTAAGCTGAGTAGACACTGAATCAGAAGCAAGAAATCTGATTTCCAGTCTCTCATTAGCCATTCGTTACTATCCCTTGGACAATACACACATATATACACACAAACACATTCACACACACATTAACACATACATACATGGTCTATAAAATGAGGGCTTTTATGACAACTACTTTTTTTCCAGTTTAAACATTTTTCAAGGTCTTGAATTGTTCTTCATTGAGGTGATCAATTCTTTAAAAGTTATTCTATAATATATCATCACAGAATGTATTTAATGTGACTTAAACTTTGTTGTAAATACAGAGTTGTAATTTTGATGTATGAAGCTAAGAATAGTCAGTACTACTGGTTCTGGCCCTGCCCAGCTTGGTTACAGACTCACTGACTCACTCACCAACTCATCCAAAAATATGCTTTAGCACTTACAGTTTGACCCTCATTTAAGAATCTGTTTTAAAGGGAGGAATTAGTCCATGCATAGGCAATTATACGGTTATTTATCATTATTAAGTGCCCTCTGATATACAAATTGCTGGTTTTCAATCTGATTCATTTTGTACACATTTAAACATCAGTGTAGAAGATTAAAATCTAAAAGTAAATGTTACAATTACCTGTGCCTGTACTGCTATGAAAGGTGATCATGTATGTGAATATATAATTCAAAGCTTTTTGACCCAAAATTTTACTGCTTTAATAGCAAATTTTTAATAAATAATATGTAGACAGAAAAATTAATGAAACAGCAAACAAATCACATTGACTAGCTTAAAACTGATTCTGCTCCCTTCAAGCAGCTTGGTGATTAATACAGTCCTGGCGGCATTTTACAGAGCCAGCACTGCGCATGTGCGCCAGTCCTACAGCTGCACGGGCCAAAGTCCAGCACCTCCCCGTGGGAACCGAAGGAAGGGACATGAGGAACTTGCACACTGGAACCCTTTCTAAAGCAAAAGATCTATTGTCTGGGAAGATCCAGTGCTGGAGCTCCTCACCATAAGTGATCAAGGTCCAAAATCTTCCAATTAAAACTTGCCTCACCAGGGATCCCACATACCCATTCTCCCTAACTTCTTAAAACCCTCTGATTGAAAGCCATCGGGGAGTTCAGGTGCTGAGCAATGGCTACGTGTTCTCCCTGCGTGGCACCCACCAACAGAGCTACTCCAGTTTCTCCAGGACAGTTCTAGGTGTTCAGTGGTTGGCCCTGCTGTGCACCAGAAGGCACGACCTCTCCTGCTCCGTCACAGTAAGGAAACTTTTTGGAGGGGAATGATGGTAGGTCATGTTTGGTTTGCATAAGAATTAGTGCCTTCTTGTCAACACAACTCTATTCTCATTTCAGTTATTATAAGTCTACAGATACTAGTAACATACTAATGTGAAAACATAACTTAGAAATAGGATAAATTAATGTAATTTTCATTTCGAGGCAGATTTTCTTTTGCATTAATCAGAAGTTTTTGCATTTTCTTGTTTATATTTTAAAGATTTTTATTAAAATCGTTGCACTGCATTGAATATTATCTGTGACTATGTAAACATGCGAAATTACACAGAGAGCATAGCCAAGGCAGTAAGATAACCTCCTCTTTGCACAGTTGAGGGCAGAGTTCCTCAAACTGGGGTTCATAAACATAGTCTCTAAAATCTGCATTTTAGGAATGTTGAACTTGAACTCAGGCTTGATCCTCTGAATCCTACCTTCAATACTAGAAGGTACACTGTGCTCACCAAAGAGAACATTGGTTAGGTGTGCTTTCAGGCCTCCACTCACTCAGCTTCTGCATCCTGTTTGCTTCCCTAACCCCTTGCTTAGGTCTAGGATCAGACTTAGTTAATCATTTAATTGATACCCATTCTGGTTAACAACCCAGTCCTTCTGAACCATGACAGAGTAAGAGTCCATGGGATCAAACATTGACTCCTACTCATACTTCTGTTTATTAAAATGTGTTCCTCTACATCAAAGTCCCCATGTTGGGTCCCCACTGTTCTATGTTTATTTTCACATTAACCTGACTCCTTTTTCTGAGTTTGGTAAAATGATTATATATTCAAGATATACCTTAATGTGAGCATTGACATAGCACAAAACAAGGTGCAATGAGAAAAGAACCCTAGAGTATGAGAGGAGAAATAAAAGACTATGGCTTTGTCTGTGATCTCTATAAATATTGATCACATCACTTCCTATCTCTAAAGCACTATTTCTTCATCTGTAATGATAATCCCATATCCTCAACTGGTATGCTCTGATGCATGCAATAACAGGTACAGAAATGCACTACAACTGTCATGATACCAATTATTTATGAGGTCTTTGGTTGAAGCTATAGGAACTTGGACTTACTTGGAGACAAAACTGTCTAACTCTGGGTCATCTGCGTTGCACCTAAACTTTGATCTCCAAATGCATAAATGGAGATAATGCTACCTCACAGAATTATGTTAAGCATTTCATAAGACAATATGAATAAATCTTAGTCTGATGCCTAGCCCTGGTAAATGCTCCAAAAGTAGTAATTTCAAAGAATGACTGGGGTTTGTAGTATGTATTGTCATTACCATTTTCTTTTTTTTTTTTTTTGGTAATCAAATTAGATGATTAAGAACTGTGAAATTATAATGTCTGAGGAATTTAAGACACTAAATCAGAGTCCTGATCCAAATTCCTATTAAGTTATTGAACTTTAACACAAAGAAACCAGCTTCCAAAACATACTGTTAGGGATGGTTATGTAAACTACTCTAAAGTGTTTCTTCTCTTATTTATATATCCTATAGGCGTAGAGGAAGGAAAAACACAGAGGGTTGCCTCAGTTTACATCTCCTTTCATCCACTGAGAAGCAATGATCAGAGCTAAGAAAACTTACAGCTACAGGGAGAGGAGATTTTTCTCCTCTTTCACTGCAGCCTAGAGATTTGCGGCTGAGAAAATGACTAAGTAAACAAGCAAATAAAAGATCGCTTAGGACCCACAAAGAAACATAGAAACTTCCCAGAACATATTGTGTAGAGCGGCTGGATGTATGAGCATCCTTCGCTTCAGCTCCACATCCATATTTCACGTGAGTTAAGGTGGAGGGACGCACCCCAGAGAATGAATACTGAAGGTGTCCACGAAATTACTGAAAGTTGCATTTACAGTCTTCCTTCGGATCTGTGCTTCCAAGTTATTTTTGAGAAAAGGAAAGGTGTTTGGCTATAATATATATGTTCTAGTAGATGTCCATTGACATTTTCTCATGAAGTAAGTTTGCTTGAGGAACTTAGACATTATGTTCCAGCTTAGTAGAAATCAAAATTAGTTTTAGACAAATATAATTTGCCTCTTGGCCTGCCTCAATGTGCAAGTCCATCATCTTGAACCAAGGTAAACAATGAGAACAACATATGAAAGATGCCAGTGAACTGGAGGAGACCAGGGAGATGAGGTTGGCCTCAGTCTCCACCAGCTTCAAGCAAACCCCTTCACTTCTCAGACTGCTTGGGCCCACAGAGCTTTTTATTGCCTTACTTACCAAGGGCTTGGTTTCATCTTCATCTTTGAAATAGTAGAGCTGATCTCCCTTGAGCACAAACCAGCGGGTATGCCAAGTCTTGACAAAGCCTCCTTGCTTCCTCAGCCACCCACACTTCAGGGCATTATTCCGCCCTTGGCCTTGTTGGGGGCTCTCCGTGGAGTCATTGTTCTCCTCCATTATCAAGCTCATGGACTTTCCTATTTAGCAAACAAACAAAAACAACAAAAATAAATAAAAGAGAAGAGTAAGGTGCTCTGATATATTCAATTTCACCTTAAATCACCCTTGTCCCTTAAGAAAAAACAGTCTGTGGAGTCAAAAATGTGTATTCACTCCCTTGCCAAATCTCTAGAAGCAAACCACAGACCTGACAACACTGCCTGGAGAAAACTTGGAGACAGTTCATTGTGTCTTCCTTAGATGAGCTAGTCAGCTGGGTAATAATATCCCTTTTCTACTAAGTAGAACTAAAGATGGGAAAGTTCTGGAGGTAATGTGTTAAGAAGCAATTTTTTAAAAACTAAACAGCCAACAAAAAACATAACTATCATGATAATGGGCCTCTGTGTCGTGTGTTCTGATTGGGGCCAGTTTGCACAAGCCTGTGATCATCTGAGCAAACACTAGCCTGACACATGTTCAAGTTTAAAGGGACTATTTAAAAAACCTCAATGAAAGACGATTGTTTTACATATGTGAAAATTGCTCAAGATGTATCTGGTCCCTTTCCCCCAAAGTGTATCCCGTTGAGAGTTTCTTTGACTGGCCAGCAATTAGTGCAGCTGAAAGAGTTTAGGGAAAAAATAAAAAATAATAAGAAGAAAAAGAACCCTGCTCAGCTAGTTGAGTTTCCTGCAAACATCAGGACTGAGTGGGGCGCTCCAGTCAACTGCATGATGAACACTGCAAGGTTACATGTGATGGAGTATAAGCCCTATACACTATACACAGCCAGGAAGTGAGTTTATCATAGAGAAAATATTAATCAACAGGTTAATTAAACTGCCACATTAAGAATGGGGGAGGTGGCTTTCTGGGAGAGCCAGGGACAAGTGGTTAAAAATAAAAGATACTTTCCTGTCCCAAAGGCTTTCTGCAAATTCTGAATATTTTGCATGTTTTCAGGAAGTAAAAAGTCTACTCTTACCCTTGTGTCTTTGAGGAGGATGTAAGGATATAGACTAAGAGACAGAACAGAATCTCCCTGTCCTGGCCTACCCATGCACAAAGGTCTGACTTTTCGGCTTGAGTCCAGAAAACAAGCTGTCTTTCTCTCTAGTCCTTGTTTCCACCATTACATTTTCAATTGATTGGTATGTACACAATCTTAGTTATAAATGCCATGAAGCGCCCACTGTCAGCCCTCAGTTCCTTAAGTTTCTCCTTTGAAGGGACAGGGTCAGACCTTCTGTTATTGGGCCTTTAGTGTCTTTGACTTTTGTCTTGCCCTTCCAGTTGCAGAGATGAAGCAGAACTTTGGCTCTAATTAACCGGGTTTTGATCACCTCAACCATCTTCTCAGTAGTTTTGCCTATTCCACAGGCAAGCATTCCAGTCTAACTCCATCCTCGCTTTTATCTCCGTCTCTTTAAACCACTTTTAAGCTTCAAGTCAGCCAATTGACCACCTTCTGTCTCATTCAATATTCACTTTTTCCTTTTTATACTGAAACATTTTTCTCATGAACAGGCCCTCATCTCTACAAAACATCTTGAAACTCCCTTTGCTGCATTTCCCAGGACAGAAACACCTTACTGCAGGAGACATTCCCCCATCATGTGCGTGCAGATTGGATCATGCCTGATGCTTTGTTTGTTATGCCCTCGGGGCAGGAACTTTCATCTCTTTTCTTTTACATTACTTGACCTAGTATACAGAGCCAAGTAAACTTCACTCCAAATGAACAGTAAATGCCTTAACCTAATTTAGATAATAAGCATGCTTATTTAGACCACTCTAAATAATCGTTCTGGTCTCCTGGTATTTAAATTGTTCAAATCTACACCAGTTGCTATTTCATCACCTATTTATTTTTTGACCAAATACCTTAACTTATAAATTTGAACTTATAAAGGTCTTCCTTAAAGTAAGCATTCCAGCATATCAACTCTCTCTCTCTCTCTCTCTCTCTCTCACACACACACACACACACACACGCACACCCCTAGAATTCATTGCATGACAACAGACTCTTTCTTTTGGGCCCTTCTTTTTCTTTTTTCTTTCCCCTTATAACTCATGCTTTCTATTAAGTCTAAAAAACCCTCTTTAAATTCTTCAAGGTAATTAGGAACCAACCATCAATAATGTAAAAAATATTCAAGTTCCCAATTTGGGTTTTGTCTACCATTAACGCCTTAGTAAAAAATGTTTGCACATTAGAACATTGTTTATGATTCTTCTTACACAAGTTGTTTACAAGTCTGGTGAAACCATGACAGCATCACCCACTGAACTCCTGGCTACAGTGACTATTTTCATAACTTCAGAATGCATCAGCAAGTATTTTAACAGTACTAATTGTAATAATTCATTAAAACAGAAATGAAAACAGATCATATCATTTCTCCAAGGGAAAAGAACACCACCACCATTGCTGGATAAGTAAAACTAAGCTTACTAAAATGACCACGATTTGTATAGAGGAGTCTTGATATTTCTGCATCTGAAATTAAATGGATCAAATTCCACCCTTCATCTGTAAAATGACAATGCTGGCCTGGATCATTTCTAACTATGCCACCTTCTAGCTCTCTGAAATCTACCATCTCTCTCATGCCACAAGCAGAAGGACCCTAGATATCCTCAGCACTCCATACCATGTCTGGCATAGGGTGAAGAGCAATCAATGTTTGATGAACTAATAAATATTGCAGTAGGTTTGGTGCTAGATATCTAAAAGTGAACATGATCTCCCTCTGAAATGTGATCCTGCCCAAACTTGATCTTAGTAAATGGCACCATGATATACACAGTTGAACAAAGAAGTGGTCATCTTTGAACCCTGACTCCTCCTCACCCTGGCTATCAAATCCATCAGAAAGCTCACAGATATTTTCAAATCCATCCAGTTGGCTCCCTTTCCACTGCCACCATGTGATCCAAGCCATATTATCTTTCCCTGAATGATTCTCATAGCCCTCCGACTGGTCTCATTGCTTTCATTTTTAACCACAAACACAAAGGCATGAGCACATGCTCACACAGAATTTATTCTCCACAAAGCAGCCAAAGTGAGCTTTACAAATTTCAATCAAATAACGATTCTCTACCCTTAAATTTTTGATTGGCTCCCATTATGCTCCTTTTAAAATCTAGAGCCTTACCATGGTCTACAGAGAAGGAATCATCTGACACTGTTGATCTTACCTAATCTTATGCCACCTACCCCACCATCCCCGTATTCCAACACACACACACACTCACAAACTTAACGGCTCTGACACAAGCAACCATACCAGCTTACTTTCAGTCCTGGAAACACCCAAGTCCATTATGCCCTGACTATTGATACTTGCGGATCCCTGCCTGGGCTACTCTGCCCCATGCTCTCTGCATGGCCGACCTCTTCTCACCTCTAAACCTCAGCATAAAGTCCCAACAAGACTTCATTAATCACCCAGTGAATTAACTACCCTCTTGTTATTTATCAATGAACTCTGCCCTCTGTTTTCCTGACACTTCTTTAAGTTGCCATTTCTTCAGCTGTTTATGGCTGATCGCTCTGCCAGGAGATCATAAGCGTCACAAAAAGCAAGGCCAAGGACTTGCTTTTCCTAAATGCAGTTTACCCAGTGCCTGTAAGAGGGCTCACTTGGTAATACAGAATTGAGAAGTTAAATTGTGTCTTCATATCAATCTTAGGAAAAAGTCTTAATGATGGCTTCTGTGCCAAATCAGGACTTAGAAAGGTGCCATCATTTGATGGACTTACAGCTTTGAATTATTTTCCCGATGTGGAAACTGATTTTACATCTACTCGTATGGTTCTGTTTTCAACCAGATGGTCTAGAAACAAACGGTATTACATGGTGCAATCTGAGATGAAATTCATGCTCCTAACAGAATTTCTAAAAGTCAAACAGCCACACACACAAGTACTTATATTTGTAACTTCAACAAAAGACACATAAACATGCATATAATCAAAGATGTATAAAAATAGAATGCCATAGAGTTGCAGTGTGTTTGAATTCACCTATACAACTACACGTGTTTAGCAAACACAAGAGACTGACAAAAAAGAAGGGATCTAAGAGTCAATCAGATAATGACAAATACCATATGACTTCACTTATATGTGGAATCTAAAGAATAAAATAAATGAACAAACAAAACTGAAACAGACTCATAGCACAGAGCATACTGGTGGCTGCCAGATGGGAGGGGTTGGGGGACTGGGTGAAAAAGGTAAAGGGATTAAGAAGTACAAATTGGTAGTTACCAAATAGTCTCAGAGATGTAAAATTACAGCACAGGGAATAGAGTCAATCATATTGTGACAACTCTGTAGGGTGGTAGTTGCATTACTGGAAATATCGAAAGGAACACTATGTAAAATATGTGATTGTCTAAGCACTAAGCTCTATATCTGACATCAACACAAAATTAAACTGAAAGTTTAAAAAAAATAAAGGAGGAGGAGGAGGAGAAGCTAGATAGAAAGAGAAGGGAGATCCTGGCCTGTTTTGCTCAGTGGTTAGAGCGTCGGCCCGCAGACCAATGAGTTGCAGGTTCAATCCCTGTCAAGGGCACATACCTTGGTTGCAGTTCATCCCTGGCCCTGGTGGGGTCACGCGGTTGACAACCAGTTGATGTGGCTCTATCACATCAATGCTTCTCTCTGTCTCTCTCTCTCCCACTCTATCTGATAATAAGTAGAAAAAAAGAAAAGGAAAGAAAGGGAAGGGAGAGAGAACAATGTAAAAGCATAAGCAGTTTCTGCACCTGCCCCCACTCCCCTCAGGGGACAGGCTCCCACAGGTGGAAGGCGCATGCACCCGGTCAGGGTCAGTTCCCTGGGCCTCAACAAGAAGTCTCGCCCTGCAAACGTAACCCCAGAGTTTCAGAGTTCACATGATTGCACACCATGTGGCCTTTCAACATAAACTACTCCAGTTGTTTCGTGAAAGAACAGTGATCTGTTCTATTGCTCTGGAAGAAAACTAAAATAAAACTGGCAGATTTGATAAGATAC